CGCCGGGATAGACCCCTTGCTTACATCGAGCCGCAGCCGTAGCTCTCGCAAGCCGGCTTTTTCGTGCAATATTCATAGATCTGACGTCAAGGAACCTGCTCCATGCGAAAAGGGGAAGGGGTCCGTTTGTCTACATGATGAAGCTGGAAGAAGAAGAGGAGGAGGAAGAGAAGGAGGAGGCAGGCGAGCGAGCGAGCGAGAGGAAGCGGGCGGGGGGAGAGGGATGCAGCCCCCTTAACCCCTTCTCTCCTTCGTCTGAACGCATTATTGGGCGAAGATTTACGAAACGTCAGGGAGGGAGGGAGGGAGGGAGGGAGAAGTGGAGGAATAAGCTAGCTCGCGAGGGAGGGGAGAGGGGGCGTGGCAAGAGGCTTTTTCACAGGTTGCGTTTTTGAGGAGCAGCCGGACATGTCGGCAGCCTCACTTGCAGACGCGATAGGTGCCTTTCTAGACACAACAGCCTGGTTAGGCGCGACACCGCCATTCGCGCGAGCAGCCCCTGGGAGAATGGGTTCCCTTACTTCCGGAGGACATAAGTGAGGGGGGCAAAGGATACGGTGTCCGAGTTAGGATGTTGGACTACGGGAAGTGCCATTCGTGGGTGGCTTTGGGTCAGTCATGGTCTCCTTTCCTCAGCCTGACTCCCAGGGTGGTGGATGTGAGGGTTATTTGGACTATCCTAAGAGCCCAGGGCATAAGGTGGGACAAAAAGGCAATGAGCACTGTAACAAGCAAGGATTCTGCCTTTCCACCCTGGGGTCCTGGCCCAGAACATCGCAACGCCTAGTTTCATCCCCTTTGGCACTTTTCATCCCAAATCATTATTCTCACGATGGTGCATCATATTTAGTTCAGCCTAGTCTGGCCCAGAGACTGGTTCAGAGAGGCAGGATCCTCCTTTGGTGCATAAGAGCATGTGAGAATGGGCTACTGGAGAGAGAAGATGAAGAGACTTTAGTAGTTCCTCTGAACTTTTGAAATGCAGTATTTTTCTAGCTGAGTTATTTGAATACATTCAGACCACACTTTCGGAGTCCAGGAATTAAACAATGTGAAACAGTCCTTCATTCTGCAATCTTGCTTTGCTTTGGGGAAGTAGAAGAAGCAATTCTAATCTATTCCTAACAGTTAAAAGAAAGGTCTGGGCTCAGGTTGGCCTGGAAGACATGCAACAAGTGTACAAACAGACTCAACCTTGTGTATTATTTAACATCCAACAGGAGGATAAGCAACCTTGTGTATTATTTAACATCCAACAGGAGGATGAGCACCCACAAGGAATGGGCTTCCCCCATAGCTAAAGCAGCCCACAAGGACGGCAGATGTGAACAATAGAAATGACCTTGAAATGTTATAATTGACTATGGCATTTAATGCTGTGTTATTTGAAAAGCAAGATACTATTTCAGATTTCAGTAGATTCTAGCCGATGTGCAAGAATATAGAAAAGGGGAGGAGTTATTATTGTTCTGTTCTTGGAATAGCACATCTTTTAAAAAATAATGAATTATTTAACTCAAATCTCCCATTTTGAAATCTCTGAACTAGCCTGCATGTTAAATGGTTGCTGTAGCAATTTAAACATTGGTCTGCAAGTTTAAAAGGAGACACTGTCCAAATTAGAAGCGTAATTCCAAAATTTTGATCATGACACACTTTCTGTTGCAGATGGAAAATAACCCACTTGTATACCCATGGGGGGGGGGGGGAGTGGTGGGAAATGTTGGAAACAGCAGAAATGCTTCAGAAGCCATGATGCTTGTAAGGTGCTCACCTGCCACATTTTCCTGAAGGAATAAATGGGAGCTTAATAATAAGCAAGGAAATGAACTAGTTTCACACAACACATTAGACCACAATTGAAACAAAGTCACTTACAAGAATTTATTGATACAAAATGTGATCATGGCATTCTCCCTTATCAATCATTTAACCTATGATTTTAGCTTGTGACAGCATGGCAATCCAAACCCCAAACAAGCTGGTGTGTTGTGTGAATGCACTCTTTGAGTGCTAGCTTGGATTATCTATCCATCCACCTCATTCACAGAATTTTTATCAGGGGTCCAGATAACAGTATCCTCCATTTATAATTCTCTCATCTTTTCCTATCATTTGTTCCATCACTTTTCTTTCTAGAGTGAAATATTATAGCTGCTTAGATGTTATTTCTGAGAAATTATTATAAGAACTAGACTCCCTTCTCCCCCCAGATTCATTTTGGAAACTTGCTTTAGGCAGAATTTAACAACAATTTGGAGAAATTTTCTTCTGGTATTTCTGAATAAAGCACCTAGCTGAGTTTGGTTGACTGCAGAAATATGAACTTGGTCAGAACTGGTTGGAACATGGATGGGGTATAATCTGAAAAGCCCAGAGATGTAGGCTATGCTGGGAAGTGAAAAAAACATCTGGAATACGATGGCAAACCACTTCCATATTCTGGCCAGCTATTTGTCATATTTTTTTTCTGGCAAGAAAACTATATAATGTGTGGATGTACTGTAAATATCTAGTTAAATAAAAATGAGTTTAAATTCCTTTAATTCTGTTCACAATTTTTTCTATGCAGTTTGTTTCACAGTGTCTTACTGATCAGTAGTTTCAATGTTCTCTTTAAATTCTATGCTGAGTCAAATTTGGTGGCACCTCTAAAGGGTTCACTGAACTTTCCATGAGGCCAGTCTGTGCCAATCAATGTCTACCTGTCCATTTTGTGTTAACTTTTTTAGAAAGAGATTTCAGTGAAGGGCTTTAACCCTTTTTAGAAGCATATTTTAATGCTTAAACTGACACTTATTTTAAAATCAGAATTGATCTTTCTGTCTTTTATCTTCCAATGTGATGGTTTTAGTGTTAATCTGAATTGCGCTTCAAAGCTGTTCTCATTTATTTATTCATTTATGAAATCTATATACCACTTCAGTCCAACTAGACTCTACATGCTT